GAGAGGGTGAAATAGGCAAAAGTGTGAAGACTTGAGTCACTTGAGCGTTGCCCACACAGCCTCTCACATAGTTTGGTAGTCAGGAGACACTTCTGTATGTCTAATCCTGACATATTCTGCAGCAACACTTCATGTTACTGAGAAGATCTGCACTGGCATGTTTCTACCAGCAGCTCAAAAAACTGTCAGCGAGATATTCTACACTTGGGATTGTCATGCAGAAACACTATTTTCTACTCTTGAATATGAGTAGAATTTGTTTTAGCCCCAAATCTCTCTAACTGACACAGAGATTAGTGTCTTCACTTCTGTTATTTCCTATAGCCTCTGCGGAACTGAAAGTGTTGCACTTTCTTCAACTTTGATGACTTCCACTCAAGAAAGAGCACTTTGTGTTGTGACAACAGACAGGAAAATATGTAGAAAGCAGAAAAAATGTGCATCATTTACACTGTGAATACAGAGGAATGGTGGACAGTGATAATTAGTAGCCACAAAGGAACTGGACAAAGCTATCAGGAATTAATCTGCATAGCCTGTCAGACTGGATAGATTGCTACATCTTCTTTACAGTGCGACAGAGCTTGCCTTAAGAGGATTATCACCACATGGTCATCTGTGTCTGTAAGCAAGATGCCAATAGTTCACATGCAAGGGTCCTGCAGTTGTCCAATGGGATGCAACCCCATTTTTAGGTATTTCTGGAATGACAGCTTGACTGAGACGACTCAGATTAAGGTATCGGGAAGACCCGCTAATCTGCAGCTCCTCAACATTTCTGCACACCACAGATTAGGCTGCAGTCAGTACCCCCCAACATGCCCCATTGCTGGCTAAGAAGGGGGTGCCTCTGGGTGCACACAGGGGGGTGGCTAGAGTTGACACACATCAGGGTACTTAGCAGGCAAATACATTTAAGTGCCCAGTGTCTGCCTCACATATCCTCATATTCTCGGAAAAAAGGCTTAATCCCCTCTTTATGATAAGCTGTCGAGGAGCTTGGACTGTCTGCTGTGGGGCTGCAGAGAACAGCACCGGGATTTAATGTTTCAGAGCCACCTGAAATTAAATTAAATTGTGGCCCTCTAAATCTCAGAGCACTCTGAAAAGCAAATGGAAAAGAAGTGTGGGGTTTTCTTCCAAAGGCCACACACCAGTGACTCGACCGGAGCATCGTAACTCATCCACCTCCACTCCAATCATGTTTGATCTCTATCTTATTTCCCTGCCTGCTTCTATTTTCAAACGCAGTGATCAGAAGGGGTTGACAGACCTCTTTAGGACAACCTGAAATGTTCCAGACGCTCCCCATTTCTGCCTCGTCTGCTTCACAGACAGTCGTAAAAACGAGCACATGCTTCTGAAGGAGCACTGCAGGTCAGGTCTGAGTCTGACCTACCGGCTGAACAGCTGAGCCTAAAATCCAACTTTGAGTTTTTCTCTTCTTTTCAGAAGCCCTTAAATTGGGCCTTCTCACACTTGGATGTGGCCCATAACAAAAAACAGATCACTGTCTCATTTCCAGAACGCATTACAAACAGATACAAACAGATATTCAAAATGAGTTTTAAAAGGAGTGGAAAGAACAATTTAAGGAATGGAAAAGTGGAAGTGTATTACTGCGATTTGCTTATTATAGGTACATGTAATTCCCAGAGTCAGAATTAGTCATTTTTAGAAACCTGAATGACTACACATTCCCTTATTCCATCTTAAACATTCCCTCCAATATGCAGCAGCTCAAGTCTCACACAACGACTATGTTGGCATTAAAAATCCAAGCCGTGTAATAAAAATATTGGCTGTGATTTATCAAATCCAGAGAAAAACAACCCCTCATAAAACTAAAAGACATTGTGACTTTTTGTTGTGGTTCACACCATCGGCTTGGAGAAGTCAAGTGTTGGAATCATAAAGTGTATTGTAGGTGGTGTTTTTTTATGTGTGTGTGTGTGTGGCTTCACCTCTGACACCGGGGATTAACAGAAAGATCCAAGTCTTTTGACACTGTTGCTGTGCATTGGTTGGTGCAATTTTCCCATCATTGTTGTGGAGCAGAATAGCCCCGGTGTCTGGAATGGTCACCCTCTGTCCCTGTGACAATGCTTTAGTGATCCACACACACTACAGTAATGGCTGCTGGTACAAAGACCTTTTGACGTCGGGGAAGGTTGTGGGGGGGGCGGCATCGCTTGGTCTCAGCCCTGCACTCTGCATCCACTTCCCTCCGACTGCCTGCCACTGCAGCACCGGCCCCTCCCCTCTCTCATTCAGCCCCTCTTGAAATGGTGGGGAGCGTCTTTTTCCAAATGTGTGTGAGTGTTCTGTGGGTGTGTGCTGATGCCTGCCTAATTGACATTAAGATCTATGAGTCGGGATGCGCTTTGGGTACCTGCCGCTTAAGAAAGAGAACAACAGAGCTGGAGAAGCGGAGAGCAAAGTCATTAGTAAAAGGAGGATGGGACTGAAAGCTCGTGGGAGTCCCACAAGGTGGAAAGGAACATTTGATATATATATAAACTTAATCCCACTAAGGAAAATGAACTAAGGAAAAGACAACATTAAGCTAAAAGACACATTTAAATAAAACAACCCTTTAATTCCAATACCGATAAATCAATGTTTTGCTGATTAATCATTCAATCCAATGTCAAAAACTAGTGAACATTTTAAATCCCAGTTCCTTAAAGTCGAATGTGATGTCTTGATGTGTCAGTCCAAAGCCCTAATATTCACCTAATATGATATAAATCAATTAAACGCAACACATCTCCATAAATGAGAGGCTGAAAAAGACATTATCGTACATTTTAGCTTGAAAATGTACTTTCATGATTACCAGATTATATAAATAGTTGTCGATTATTTTCCTTCTGATCAACTAATCGATGAGTCCATTAATCCTTGCAGCTCTACATGGAAAAAGAACACTGCACCTCCAACACAGGCGCTCACCTAATTACTACTGCAATGTAGCTCAGGAGGAGGAGAGAGGAAGGAGGAGTATCAGTTGTGTTGGATGCACATGGTTGCCGGTCCTCATTCTGTGTGAGAGTCTGACTCAGAAGCTGCCAATGCATAATGCAAAACAGTCCGTCAGCGTTCCGATAGCAGGATTAGGAAAAGATGGGGATCCCATATGAGCCACATGCACCGAGCACAGCCTCCTCCAAGAGGGTTAGCCCGGGCTGCTGCAACCACCCTCCCTTTCCTAACCCCATCCTACGCATCCACTTCCCTTTCTCCACTTTCTCCTCATCTCTCAGTCAATCATCATCCTGCCAAAGCACAGCAAGGTCCAGATATAGAGAACGGAGGAGTTGTGTTTGAGCCCTTATTGAGGGGTTTCCTCTGATCAAAGCATGAGGAGGTGTAAGTAGTACAAATGGTTAGTATGGAGGGAGACTGACGCATCCATGATGAGGATGAGCAGAGCCTGAGTGCTGCTTAAAGATACTAAGATTAGATATGACCCTTCATCACATTCTTGACTGTAGGTTGAGCAGCTAAAGGCTTCCATGATCATTTAGGAGCCCGAGGGTGTGTAGCTTTCCTCTTCACCATGCCCTTAGGATGATGAGCATGTGGGTACTTAAGTGTATGCATTGTTCCGTTTTAATGGGCCACTCCTTCTCCCTGCCACAGGCTACAGAGTGAAATTACACATTTTCCATCTAATTTTAGATAACTTGATGTCAGATAATTGCAGTCATTGCAGTAAATAAATTGGGAGGAGTAGAAAAATGCAAGATTTGGAAGCAAATGTCCACAGGTCATTGAGATTATCAATCTATTAATGTACTTTAACCAGGAAGGTGTTTCTTTGTATAGAATAGCATGCTCTGCCCATGCTTCCCTCCATTCTCCCTGCTGCAGCAATAATTTTAACCCATTCATTTCCACAGTCCGATGTCCAAGCCTTGATAACTAGCCTTACAAAATCCAATCACCAAATGTTGGATTTTGAGGATAAGGACTAATGTAACACCCTTTAATGTGCAGAGAGTAGATAACAAAAGCTAATACAATTCTCTCTTATATCCATAATAATGAACTAAAATCAGATTCATTTGTGAGTTGTGGGACTAGTCAAACATCTAAACAATTAGATTCTACAGGGCTATTTCTTACAATATTTAAACAAAATAAAATATCTCTCACTCTGAACAATCTGCTTTATCTCACTGAGCTCTACTCTTGGTGGTCTTTTTAACATCTATGATTGTTAATCAATTAATCGATTCCATAATTAGGCTAAAACAAATCTCTTTTCTCATTGTAGTACATGCCAAGCTTAAATGTCCCTCTGTACACAGTGTTCAGTTTTAATAAATGATGCTCTGGATCTCAGCTATAGTGAGGAAATCCAGGCACTTGAGGGGGATGCACACCACATGGCCCCATCACAGCACCACACACACACACACACACACACACACACACACACACACACACACACACACACACACACACACACATCTCACACACTGCCAGCCACACAAAAATACAGGCGATTAGATGTTCCTGGAATAAATCACTCCCAGAAACGGCGAGAAACTAATGACTGATTCTTCACGCTGATACACTCTATCTCTCATTCTGCAGTCGCTGAAACTGACAGACGAGCCCATAGCAATATCACAAATACACACAAAGTGGAGAGTTGGTCGCCTTAATTGATGGATCTGCAATTATTTTTAGCCCTGGGTAAAAAAATATCAGTGTACAGCCTTTTCTTGAGGGATATCTTAGACATGTTATTAATTTAAACCACAGTACACAGTGGAAACACCTTGCAGGCTTCTGCTTTTTAGCTGATTGTCCACTGCGCTTGGGCAAAGCCTCTTTTGTTCTGCCCGTCTCAGCTGAGGTGTGCTCCATAACACCGCTCACGGGCAATTACGCGCATGTATCGCTCTATGGAATACAGAAAGCAGCCCTGGTGTGCTTAAGATAAATAAATGATGCTCTAATAGAAAGGAAGAAGTCAGATCTCTTACCCACTACGGTGTATCTATCCATGTAATTGAGGACGTTCCCAAAAGTGAGGATCCCGGCGGCAGCAGCCGGTGAGTGGCATTTGAGCAGCGCGGCTCGGAATTTGTGCCCCGGCTTGCACGGGTGGAGGTCCGGGTTGGATTTCAGCACGGGGCTCATGCTGCCGGACAGCGTGCGCACCTCATCCAAAGTGCTGCAGCCTTCAATCTCGCATCCATCGCTCTCCACACACATTTCTTGGCTCGAAAGATCCAGCGCAGAGAGAAGGGGGAACAAGAGACAGAGAAATTGAGTAGTTGAGACTCGGAGGTGTTCTGTGATTTCTGTTGGAATTATTCGGTGTGTTGTCCTAAGTGTTGAAGCGCAAGATTCACTCTTCTCGGGCTCATATTTGTGTAGCAGCATGCAGTGACGGACGGGCTGTGCGCTCCTTGGTGTTTTTTCTAAGGACCGAGCGCTGTAGTGCAGGGGGTGTGACCCGGTGCCGGAGACTCCGCCCCCTGAAGCCCGGCAGCGAATGATGGAGCACCTGATACGGTGCTGCAGATGCATGGGAACCGAGTGTGATGCGCCTGCCTGGGAAGAAAAAAACAAACTTGCTGTGCTGTAAGGGCAGTGGTAAAAGGACAGTGGTAAAAGAAGTGTGTGAATTTGTTTATCTTAATACTTATTGATAGTCATCTTTGAATTTATCTCAAGCTCAGTGAAGTGTCTTCACTTACTTATGATACCAAGCCAATACAATATTATAAAAACACTGTTTTGCAATATATACTTTTTTTCCCATGTATAATTGTAATTACTGGCTGCTCCTTTTTTTAAATCAACACATTATAAATAACAAAGAGTAATATATACTTCTGCTATTCACTACTGTTATTCCTGGCTGCTACTTCATTACCTTTGTATAGGTCCACTTGCTTTTCTAAGGCTTCTATGTATCTTTATACCCTAGTGTATCTATGTGTACCCATTTGATTTGTATTTAATTAAAGTGTGCTTGTCTCTCTATTTAATATGTTAGTCAACTCATTTGTTTCATCTTTAATCCCCTGTTTTAACATTGACAAAGGATTATGATTGTGACTATTTCTGCAATTATTTGTATTCATTTTAATTTAATCTCTTCTATTTTTATTTGATTTTATGTCTTAAGTATTGTATGTTGTATTGTTGGGGGAACCTGGGAATTCAGATGTTCAATGCCAAACTGTGCTTTATCTATTGTTCATATGACAATAAAGCCTCTGGAAATGGAGAAATGAATGCTAGACGGTACTAGCCCAGTGACTAAATGTAGACTAATAAAAGTAGGTCACTATGTTGCACAAATACATTTCGAGATGAAAATAAGATACTGCATCGCTCCTGGTGTGTACACATTTTTAGTAAAGGGTCCAAAATACATCTTTGGATTAATGTTTTTTTTTCCTGAAGTTGCAAAATGTACAATGCAAATTAATCATCATTTCTATTTCCATCCCAATTTAAATGTGCCAAAGTTGGTTAATGAGTAAATTGTTATTCGCAGTCCCTGATGATTACAAAAAAACAGGCATAATTATGGGGATCATTCACACTTTGCTAATAATTTAGAATACATAATTATGTACAAAATCATCATCAAAACACAACAGAATTGCACAGAGAAGATGTCTTTATGATGGCTATTAAAACAAATGTTCTTATCTTGGAGTCGATTCAAACTCGTTTTAGTTTGCAACACTTTAGTTCCAACAACAGAATATGCCCAATGATTCCAGATCATTCTGGAAGTATTGAATAAAGAGCAGTGATTAGTCAGCAGATCTGAGGGGTGTCGAGGTGGAATACGGGCATAAGGAGTTCAGAGATACAACCTGTTTGCAGTCCATACAAATACAAATAATCTTTGAATAAATTCTGCACATTCAGAGGCCACTCCAGCAGATAAGCAACCTCTCTTCCTGGTACCAGGAAGAAGTCTCGCTGCTGCATTTTGAACCAGCTGCAGGCCAGATAAGGACTGTATTATTTGCAACAAGTAAGATAAGAAGAAATAATAAAGCAAGACTTGGTTTCCAAATCCTAAACAGACAGGTAATCTAATCCAGTGTTGACAAGGAGCTGATTTGACAATCAAAATGTAGTTACTTGGATGGGATTCAACATCAATGACAGAGGCCACAATTGTTGATTGTGGTGTTGATGTAGCCACATTTAATGTAAGAAGTTTATGATCAGGCAAGGTTGATTCAGTTGACATTCAATTACAATGAAGAAATTGCACCTTATTAAAATAAATGGAAACAGCCAAAAGTAATAGAGAAGTATTCATTTATTCTGTATAAACATCTCAAAACATTGCCTTTTTATCCAGACAACAGTACGGCATAAATTCCAGGTGTACTGTATGTATCTTGCTAAAAATAGGGGATGCTGTTTATTTTTGTGATATACGTTTTCGTTTCTGTTGTTTTTTAATGAAAGGCAATTTTTTCTTTTAATGCAGCGTCCAGAAATGTAGCTTAATGTTGGGGTGGATATCAAATATCATAGTCATCCTAAAAGTTAGAATAAAAGCATTAAAAGTAACAATCTTGATAACACTCACTTCCGGGAAAACATTGTAGGTCAAATTTAGGTTGTGACACCGTGATTCCAAAAATAACTTCTGGATTTGCAAACATTTTACAATTATTTCATGATGTTTTAAACTTTTAATATTGCCATCTAAAAATGAAGGAATCTTACACATTTTAAAGCTAAAGAAACAAAAAGGTATAATATGCAATATTTTGTCAGCCCAATAGAGATGTGCTGGCCAATACAGTAGCTGCTATAACATATACTAAGCCTTTTAGCACACAACATACCCTGACTCCACATGTTTTTAATAAAGAATCTACCTCTTACAAGTAATGGCAAATTATTTGCTGCCTCAGCATAATTCTGAACCCTTGCCGCCGATCAATCTCTATTTCATGGCTATTTGGACTGCACAAAACAGCAGTGTTTATAATCAGGCTCCGGAGAATGCTACATTTCTACTCACCACCAGCATAGCCATTAGAGCAGAGATTTTTCACTCAGACCCAAATGTCGCTTCGTCAAGAAAGTTCTGCACCAGTAATTATTGTGGTGTAAAAGGAACAAACTAAACAAAACAAAGTAAATTGGTTGTCTGCAAGCAATTGAGGAATGTAACATTTACTTGTACAAGATTTTTCAGAAGAAACATCTACATCACAACAAGCTGTTTGGGGCACAGTGGTGAATAGAAAATAAGGGAGTCATTCTGGATGAAGCCAAACTGCTGGACATGTTTGTGTGTGGCAGTCCTGGTGGTTATAGAATAAAATATAAGGGGGGGGGGAAATCATCCTGTTTGGAGAAGGAAAGACAAACACAATGCAACTGGCTCCGTTCTGACAGTTTCAGTGGTTTCGGTGTTATCTGATATTCACCAACAATATCACAGTCTAAAGCAGAGATATAGAAGTCCTTAAATGACTTCAGGGTCTTTGCTCTCCTATTCAAAGTTTGGATATACCTTCCTTTATTACTGCTTTAGGACTTTTTTAACTATAGTTCCGAAGAAGGTGACATTGCCTTGTCTCGCTACACTGTGTGTTGTCTGATGTGAAAAGCATACCAACATCCAACAATGAGATGACTTTTCACAAGAGGTGTTTCTGAAAAAGGTTGTGATAGCGGCAACAAAGGCAAATTATCTTTCTCCATGAATGGCTGGGACAGGTCCAATCCTGCATGCAGATGAGCATTTCAGTGCCATCTGTGTTCTGTCAGTGAGTAGCCAAAACATCTCCAGCTAATTGATACACTATTCCATTGTGAATTATGCACAGAGCGAATTTGACTTTGCGAGGAAAGGAACCCCAGATTGTCAGCTAACATAATCAACCATACATCCGAAAAAAGCGTGTATTGTCTAAGGAGTTTTATAATTCTTAACCAATTTTCACGAGAGTGGATGGAGATTCAGAACAAGCTTAAATGTTGTAGTCTTAGCATGGGCACAGAGTTCAGTGTGTGAGTGAAAGGTGGGCGTGCTCAGGGGTCATTCCTGACAATTGTCCTTTGATTTCAATGAAAGCCAGAGGGGACATCGGCCAACAGGCTCTTATTCCTGATGAACTGGGTGGTAAAGAGGCCCTGAGAGGCTACAAGGAAATACAGTATTATGATTATCTATTTCTTCCGTCTAACTGTGGTGGGCTTACATATTAATTATATTAAACTAGAAAATGCATTTCCTGCAGAAAATGCATGCGAATGCTGTAAACTTTGAACATTTATGGCTGAATTTAGCTGAAAATGCAGAAAAAGCTGAATATGTTATTAGCTGAATGGTAGCTGCTTTTAGCTACAAAAATGCAGAAAAAGCTTAATATTTAAAAGAAAAGGTTTAAAAAAAGGTATAAACAACAACATGTATAGCCTTGATGTCCTGAAATAGCTGAATAATGTAATAGTTGAATGGTTTCTGCAGCAGAAACCATTCAACTATTACATTATTCAGCTATTTCAGGACATCAAGGCTATACATGTTGTTGTTTATACCTTTTTTTAAACCTTTTCTTTTAAATANTTTTCTGCTGTAAAGTTGGGCATTTTAACATGGGGGTCTATGGAAATTGCTCCTTTCTGCAGTCAGTCCCTATCGGCCAATATATGAACTGCAGTGTGTGCCACTTCCGTATTGGCGTCCCGGCTCTTCCACAGAGTTTGCCGCTTGGTCTTGATGTAACACTATTCATAATTAAGTAAATGTAACACCCTTTTCATCCCGGTTACACGTTTCATTTGCCCTGTACGATGGGCGCTGTAAGTGATGAAAATGGGGGATGTTGGCTTATCTGGCGCCCGCAGCTCACAGCCAACGTGCGATGGAGGGAGAAAGGGAGGGTGCACCGGTACCGGCGCTGTTGTTATTAGAATCTGGTGCTAGCTGCTCTAACGGATATAAGAAGAAGATGTTTCTACAATAATGTAGAGGGAGAGTCCTCTCCAGTCAGATTGAGCGGCTGATAACTACAGCTCAGTGAGGTAAGGACTCTGAGTGTTTAGATAGTTAACTTTAGTCTAAGTTCAAACGGTTTGGTCACAATTTATGTAAACACATATTCCCAAGGCACTTCTTTATAATTATTGGGATAAACAGGTTTGAAATTGTTTCAATGTATAGTATAGGACAGTAACCAAAAACATCCTTTAAAACTGGAGAGATACAACAAAAATGCATAAATAAATAAATGTTAAGGTAAAATAAGATATGAATGAACAACATAAATAAAATAAGTTACATTAATATGTTATTGGCTATGGTAGGTTATTGGTTATGTTCACATACTTATTTGATTACATGCACTTGTCTAAGATGACAACAGAGACTTTCGACCCAAAACCAGCTGTTGACTTGAGGATGCAAGCAGCTAATCGCAGACTCAACAGAGAGAAAGTAGGCCTACATCATCAGCTACCATGTCTGACAGAGAGGAAGACAGTGAGGAGAACAGTCAGGAGGGTAGTGATGACAGCTTGTAGGATTACTTGTCGTGCTAATGTTGTCTTGTGTTCACCTCTGCATGTGTGTTCTGTGTTCACCTCTGCATGTGTGTTCTGTGTTCACTTCTGCATGTGTGTTCAGTGCCGTGTGTCTGGCAAATAAAGTCAAGACCCCCTCAAAAGTTACGGTTTATTTCATTTTAAGGATGCGCACCAAGCAACA